TCCCGGTCGGGGTGCTGGATTCTGTCCCGGTTGCCCCTCTTCCAGGCCAGCTCTCTGCTGTGGCCCGAGAGTGCAGTGGAGGATGGCCCAAGTGCTTGGGCCCTGCACCTGCATGGGAGACCAGGAGAAGCACCTGGTTCCTGGCTTCAGATCAGCGCAGTGTGCCAGTCGCAGCACAATGGCCGCAGTGGCCATTGGAGGGTGAACCAACAGAAAAGGAAGACCTTTCTCTCTGTCTCTCTCTCTCTTACTGTCCACTATGCCTATCAAAAAAAAAAAAAAAAAGAAAGAAAGAAAGAAATTAGAAAGGCACCAAATAAATGAGCTATCAATGCATCTCAAGGATCTAGAAAGACAACAGCAAACCAAACCCAAAACTAGTAGGAGAAAAGAAGTAATTAAAATTAAAGAAACCAACAAAATTGAATCCAAAAAACAATACAAAAGATCAGCAAAACAAAGAGCTTGTTTAAAAAAAAAAAAATTCACACACCATTGGCCCAACTAAACAAAAAAAGGAGAGAGAAGACCCAAATCAATAAAATTAGAGATGAAAAAGGACATGTAACAACAGACACCACAGAAACAAAAAGTGTCAACAGAAATTACTACAAAGAGTTGTATGCCAACCAACTGGGAAACCTAGAAGAAACTGATACATTCCTGGACACATACAACCTACCTAAATTGAGCCATTAGACACAGAAAACCTAAACAGAGCCATAATCAAGATGGAAACTGAATCAGTAATAAAGGCCTTCCCAACAAAGAAAAGCCCAGGACCAGATGGCTTCACTGCTGAATTCTACCAGACATTTAAAGAATTAACTCCAATTCTTCTCAAACTATTCAAAACAACTGAGAGAGAGGTAATTCTCTCAAATTCTTTCTATGGAGCCAGCATCATCTTAATTATTAAACCTGAAAAAGATGCAACAGAGAAAGAGAATTACAGACCAATTTCCCTGATGCACATAGATGCAAAAATCCTCAACAAAATTCCAGTCAATAGACTCCAACAACACATCAGAAAGATTGTCCACCCAGACCAAGTGGGATTTATCCCTGGTATGCAGGGATAGTTCAACATTTGCAAATCAATGTGATACAACATATTAACAACCTGCTGAACAAAAGCCATATGATTATCTCAATAGTGCAGAGAAAGCATGTGATAAAATACAACACCCTTTCATGATGAAAACTCTAAGCAAATTGTGTATAGAAGAAACATTCTTCAACACAATCAAGGCAATTTATAACAAACCCACAGCCAGCATCCTACTGAGTGAGAAAACATTGAAGGCAATCTCATTAAGATCCAGAACCAAACAGGGATACCCACTCTCCCTACTGCTTTTCAATATAGCCCTGAAAGTTTTAGCCAGAGCTATTAGGCAAGAAAAAGAAATCAAAGGGATACAAATTGGGAAGGAGGAAGTCAAACTATCCCTATTTGCAGACAACATTATTTATAGGGGATCCAAAGAACTCTACTAAGACACTATTGGAACTCCTAGAAGAATTTGGTAAAGTAGCAGGATATAAAATCAATATACAAAAATCAAAACCATTTGTATACACAGACAACGCCACGGCTGAGAGAGAACTAAGATCAATCCCATTCACAATAGCTACAAAAAAAAAAAAAATCAAATACCTTGGAATACATTTAACCAAGGATGTCAAAGATCTCTGCAATGAGAATCATAAAACATTAAAGAAAGAAATAGAAGATATAAAAAATGGAAAAATCTTCCATGTTTATGGATTAGAAGAATCAATATCATCAAAATGTTCATTCTTCCAAAAGCAATTGACAGATTCAATGTAATACCAATCAAAATACCAAAGACATTCTTCTCAGATCTAGAAAAAATGCTGCTGAAATTCATATAGAGGCATAGGAGACCTCAAATATCTAAAGGAATCTTATACAACAATAACAAAGCCAGAGACATCACAATACTAGATTTCAAGAAATACTAAAAGGCAGTTACAATCAAAACAGCCTGGTACTGGTACAAAAACAGATGGACAGACCAATGGAGCAAAACAGAAATGCCAGAAATCAATCCAAACATCTACAACCAACTTACATTTGATCAAGGAGCTAAAACTAACCCCTGGAGCAAGGACAATCTCTTCAACAAATGGTGCTGGGGAAACTGGATTTCCACATGCAGAAGTATGAAGCAAAACCCTTACCTTAAACATTATACAAAAATCCACTCAACATGGACTAAAGATCTAAATCAATGACCCAACACCATCAAATTATTAGAGGTCATCAGAGAAACCCTGAAAGATATTGGCACAGGCAAAGAGTTCTTGGAAAAGACCCCAGAGGTAGCCAAAGTCAAAATTAACAACTGGGATTACTTCAAATTGAGAAGGTTATGTACCGCAAAATAAACAGTCAGGAAAGTGAAGAGCCAACTGACAGAACGGGAGAAATTATTTGCAAACTATGCAACTGATAAAGGATTTGGTTTTTGTTTGTTTGTTTTTTTCTGATAAAGGATTAATAACCAGAATCTACAAAGAGGTCAAGAAACTCCACAACAACAAAACAACCAACCCAGCTAAGAGATGGGCCAAGGACTTAGACATTTTTCAAAAGAAGAAATCAAAATGGCCAACAGACACATGAAAAAATGTTCAGGATCACTAGCCATCAGGGAAATGCAAATCAAATCCACAATGAAGTTTCACCTCCCCTCAGTTAGAATGGCTTTCATACGCAAATCAACAAACAACAAATGTTGGCAAGGATGTAGGGATAAAGGTATCCTAATCCACTGTTGGTGGGAATGCAAACTGGTAAGCCACTATGGAAGGCAGGTTGGAGATACCTCAGAAATCTGAATACAGACCTATCATATTACCCAGCCATCTCACTCCTCGGAATGTACCCAAGGGAAATGAAATCAGCAAATAAAAGAGCTATCTGTACCTCCATGTTTATTGCAGCTCAATTCACAACAGCTAAGACATAGAATCAACCTAAATGCCCATGAACAGAAGACTAAAGAAATTATGGGATATGTACTTTATGGAATACTACACAGCAGTAAAAACCAAAACCAAAACCCAAAAAACAAAATCCGGTCATTTGCAACAAAATGGAACAATCTGGAAAACACCACGCTGAGTGAAATAAGCCAGTTCTTTTTTTTTTTTTTTTTTTTTTTTTTTTGACAGGCAGAGTGGACAGTGAGAGAGAGAGAGACAGAGAGAAAGGTCTTCCTTTGCCGTTGGTTCACCCTCCAATGGCCGCCACGGCTGGTGTGCTGCGGCCGGCGCACCGCGCTGATCTGATGGCAGGAGCCAGGTGCTTCTCCTGGTCTCCCATGCGGTGCAGGGCCCAAGTACTTGGGCCATCCTCCACTGCGCTCCCGGGCCACAGCAGAGAGCTGGCCTGGAAGAGGGGCAACCAGGAAAGAATCCGGCGCCCTAACCGGGACTAGAACCCGGTGTGCGGGCGCCGCTAGGTGGAGGATTAGCCTATTGAGCCACGGCGCCGGCTGAAATAAGCCAGTTCTAAGGGGACAAATACCATATGTTCTCCGTGAACTGTGACAACAGAGCACCTGAAAGAAAACCTGTAGAAGTGAAACTGACACTATGAGAAGCAATGACTTGAGCAGCCCTTGTCCTGACTGTTGAGGAACAGCTTATTTTATTTTATTTTTTTTTACTATTTTTCTTTTTCTACTTAATACCATTGGTTGAACTCTTTACTTAATATAGAATTATTCATAGGTGTATAAATCCAATTGAAAATTTGATCCCAGCAAAAACTAAGAGTGGGAATGAGAGAGGGAGGAGATGTACAGTTCAGCGCACGCTCCCTCAGACTCACCCCATGGGTAAAGCTAAAAACTTGCCATGGGACTTCAAAGCCCATTAAGTTGGCAGGTACCAATGCCACCTTACTAGTTAAAGTGATCAGTTTAAGTTCATAACTGATCATAAAGATAGGATTAAGTGTGAAAGGGACTGCATAAGTAAGACCAAGTGTGTGCTAATAACAATAGATAGACTTAAAAGAAGAGAATGTTCCAACATGGGAAGCAGGCCACACAGCAGACTCAGAAAATGACAAACGCCCTAAACAGCACTGGCCTCAGAATCAGCCCTTAAGGCATTCGGATCTGGCTGAAAAGCCCATGGGAGCATTTCAGGCTGAAAGGCCAAGACTCTGCAGCAAAAAATGACCTACATGAAGGATCTCTGTGAGTGAGATCCCAGTGGAAAGAAGGAGCCATCAAAGAAGGAAGTAGCTTTCTCTGAAGGGAGGAGAGAACTTCCACTTTGCTTATGGCCCTGTCTAAATACTGACAGACCTTGTGGACTCAAGAGGCTTCCATAGCCTTGGCAGCTCATGACAAGAGCTTCGGGTGATTGCTGACACCATAAACAAGAGTGTCAATTATTAAATCAACAAGAGTCACTGTGCACTTGCTCCCCATGTAGGATCTCTGTCCTTAATGATTTGTACTATGAGAATTAACGGTAAAACCAGTCTTCAAACTGTACTTTATACTTTGTGTGTCTGTGCAGGTGCAAACTGTTGAAATCTTTACTTAGCATAGAGTTGATCATCTGTATTTAAGATAATTAAAATGGGAGAGGGAGTAGGAATTGGGACGGGAATGGGGGTGGGAGGGTGGGTATGGGAGATGAATTGCTATATTCCTAAAGCTGTACCTATGAAATTTATATTTATGAAATAAAAGCTTTTTAAAAAAAGACTTTCTGCCATTTCTTATTGTACCTGTTATAGCTTACAGCAAGCATTCTTGGATTGCACTAACATTAAGATACTTTTTCTCTCCCCTACTTTCTCTCCTGAATTGCTCTTCTTTTCTAACTTTCGGCCCCCCTTGATTACACCTCACTCGTATTTCAATCATGCATCTTCAGTTGAGCCTAACTGACAAATAAGCTCCAGCCACTCCCAGACCCTCAAGGGAATCTAGAGGCAATGACCTTACCTATGGTGTGATTTCCGTAGAGAAGCTGCTCCAAGATTGCAGTTTTCCCCACAGATAACAATCCGCAAACCACAACCTTGCAGCCCTTCCCCATCTTCTCCCAGGGTATCACTGTGAAGAGAACAGAAGGTCTTTAAAATTGTGTACCATTTTACTCGAAACGCAGAGGAACAAAGAGAGAAACAGAGCTAGAGGAGCTTCCTGCTGCTGGTTCACTCCCCGACTGCCTACTACAGTTGGGCAGGACCAGGCCAAAGTCAGGATCCTGACCCCAATCCAGGTCTCTGACCTGGGTGGCACAGACCCAACTGCTTGAGTCATTCCTGGGTGAACAGCAGGAAGCTAGAATCAGGAGCACGAGGACTTGACCAGGCCGTCCAAAGTAGGATGTGGGTGTTCCAGGTGATGTCCTATCACTGTGCCACACACATGCCCTTAAAATTGTATAGTATCGAAATTTACCTTTTACTTTTACTATAAATTTGATCTGTAATACACAGGGAAAACTTTATTTTTTTTTTTAATTTTTTGACAGGCAGAGTGGACAGTAAGAGAGAGACAGACAGAGAGAAAGGTCTTCGTTTGCTGTTGGTTCACCCTCCAGTGGCCGCCGCGGCCAGCTCGCTGCGGCTGGTGCACTGCGCTGATCCAATGGCAGGAGCCAGGTGCTTCTCCTGGTCTCCCATGGGGTGCAGGCCCAAGCACTTGGGCCATCCTCCACTGCACTCCCTGGCCACAGCAGAGAGCTGGCCTGGAAGAGGAGTAACCAGGACAAAATCCGGCGCCCCGACCGGGACTAGAACCCGGTGTGTCGGCGCCGCAAGGCAGCGGATTAGCCTAGTGAGCCGTGGCACCAGCCAGGAAAAACTTTCAAATATAAAAAAGACAATTAACAAAGGTACAGCCTTCCAAACCCCACTTCCTAGTTTCCCACTGGTTCCCTCAGCTCAATCAGAATTACCAGCTTCTTACATATTTTCACAGATAATCTAAATATACTCATTTATGTTTATTATTAAAAATAACATAGATATATAATGTAAGAAAACAGGGATGTGTATGTATGCACATTTTCAAAAGGAATAAACACAGTTCATATGAAGACTGTTTCAACAGTAATTAACTATAGGAATGCAACAGAATCTCAAACTCAACTAATCCCTCACACAGACTACCTGCTTATCAATACATACCTCGAAAGATAAACATTTAAGTCAAAATTCAAGGAGGCACAAAGATCGAGTTTTGAATAGAAAATGGGCATGATTTTTTAAACAAACACTACTGTTATTAGTGCTCCTGGCAGTCTTTTCTAAGGACAATGAGAAGCTGGATTTTGGGAGTCACATGGGCTTTCTCTGTCAAATTTTTCTTTGAGAAACAACAGACAATGCTAGAAAAATTGTCCAGGCACTTTAAACTAGAAAGCAAAGGAAAATTCATCTCTGCTGGTTTCCCAACTTGTATCCATGGAAGAACAAGGTCATGTGACAATTCCTTCCATTTTTCCTCAAGCATCCTCCCCACCAAGGCAAAGGATCAGAAACCAAAGCAGAAAGAAAAAAAGGGCTCACTAAATATGGAATAACTTGGTAAGAAAATTGATTTCGATGTGACATTCTGCCATTTCTTCCTGCCTCCTCCTTCCACCTGTCTCCCCTCTTCCCTCCAAGTGCTCATGCCATGACCATTGCTAAAAGCGACGCCACAAGTCTGTCAGAAGCAAGTCAAAGGAGTTCAGACAAGCATTCCGACCAAAGAGCCGCTGATGTCTTTCTGGGCGCCTGTGCTCACTGGACTGTGACAACTAGAAGCTCACTATAACAGCGCAGAACCGCAGGCACCTGCGTCCTCATGGGTGCGGGGCAGCACTACTGCTTTATATAAACTGAAAACAGTAAACGACACGTGAACTCTCCTCACGACCCCAAAGTCCTCCCCACTTTGTCTTCTCAAAGTCTGTACTTTCATATGATCTGAATCACCCACAACACTAATCAGCTAACAAAAAAATCTCAACACTGCCATGCCGGCAGCATGGTAATAACCCAGCCCCTCTCTGCATGGAGTGCACTTTTATCAGTAGACAAGTAGCTACCACTTGTGTGGTGTGACCATTATTTCCTGGGTGGCGTGCTTCAGACCCAAATCTTCCAAGAATATTTGTTTCTGTCTTCCATGACAACCACTACTCTTAGGGCCTTTGTCCTTTATATCCTCAATGTAACTGCAATAGAAAATTCTCAGCCTTATAAGGACAGAGCTTTATGTAACATGATCATCTCCAGTCTGGTCTCTCCTGTCTGCAACTATGGCCTATTTCAAAAGGCTTGCCACACACATCTCTGAATCTATGATTAATTTAATGTCACCTCATTTATCATAGGATTCTACGCTCTCCGCATATCCTGATTTCTCTGTAAGTCATAACACCATTGAATCTTTCTTTCAAAAGGTTTTAATGATAATAATTAAAATTTAAAGCGAGCTGCCACGAAGGCATGTGAAAAGAGTTTGCAAAATAATCTGCCAGAGACAAGAAAAAATCCATCAGAAAAGGTTGTGCTGTTGATATCTAAATTCCAATTTTTTTTCTTTAAGATTTATTTATTTCAGGGACGGTGCTGTGGCATAGCGGGTAAAGCCCCAGCCTGTAGCGCCAGCATCCCATATAGGTGCCGGTTCTAGTCCTGGCTGCTCCACTTCCAATCCAGCTCTCTGCTGTGGCCTGGGAAAGCAGTAGAAGATGGCCCAAGTCCTTGGGCCCCTGTACCCATGTGGGAGACCCGGAAGAAGCTCTTGGCTCCTGGCTTCGGATAGGCACAGCTCCAACCATTGTGGCCATCTGGGGAGTGAACCATCGGATGGAAGACCTCTTTCTCTCTCTCTTTCTCTCTTTCTCTCTCTCTCTCTCTCTCCCTCTCCCTCTCCCTCTCCCTTGCTCTCTGTGTAACTCCGACCAGCAAGTAAATTAAAAAAAATCTTTAAAAAAAAAAAGGTTTATTTATTTGAAAGGCAGAGTTAGAGAGGGAAAGGCAGAGAAATCTTCCATCCACTGGTTCATTCCCCAAATGGCCACAATGGCCAAGCAGAAAGCAAGAGCCTGGAACACCAGCTGGGTCTCTTCCACCAGCAACTGGGCCATCTTCCACTGCTCTGCAGGCGCGTTAGTGGGAAGCTGGACTGGAAGCAGAGCTCCAATCACTTAGGCTCTCACAGTGATGGGATGCCGGCATCACTGTGCCACAAGCTGGCCCCTAAATTCCAATTTTCCTATTGCTATTTTCCTTCCTCTCAAAATTTCTTAGCTCTACAGAATTTCTGAATACCAATCCTTACCTCCTCTCCCCTTCCCATTCAATTAAAAGAAAAGGTCTCTTTACCACTTATACTAATCTAAAACAAACAAACAAAAAACTCAAGTGCCTTAAGAAGGGGAGTATATGCTGTAGCTAAGGGAAGCAGGAAGCCACCTATCTGGAAGAAAATGCCCTATGATTAAGAGCAAGAAGCCCTCAAAGGAAGGCAAATACGAATCCTGGGGATTGCGGCACACTGGAAAAATGCTGAAACCAACAGAATCCTGAGAAATACAGAAGTCAAATGATATATTCCAAAGAATCTTTGGAAGTGGTCTTAAGATAACTGCTTTTGGGGCCAACGCTGTGGCTTAGTAGGCCAAGCCTCCGCCTGTGGCAGCAGCATCCCATATGGGCGACAGCTCTGGTCCTGGCTGCTCCTCTTCCGATCAAGCTCTCTGCTCTGGTCTGGTACGGTAGCAGAAGATGGCCCAAGTGCTCGGGCCCCGGCACACGTGTGAGGTGCCCAGAAGCAGCTCCTGGCTTCAGATCGGCTCAGCTCCAGCCGTTGTAGCCACTTGGGGAGCGAACCAGTGGATCAAAGACTGTTCTTGTGGGGAGCAACTGGGAGCAACTCGGACTAGACTAAGTTACTGGAATTAAGACTTATTCTATGCATCTGCTCTCCCACAATATGACGCTGAGAAGGGAGAAACAGCTTCTACTCAGATGCCTCCAGTTCAACCAATAAACTGTAGGACCTGCTCCTGATTGGAGGAGAGCAGCGTACTCGGCGTGTGGGCAGCCGAGTTGGGATTGGCGGAAGAGGACTATAAAGGAGGAGAGAGACAACATGCACCAGGAACATCTAAGGGGAACATCTATCTGAAGGAACACCTGTGCAGCCCCCGAGAGAGCTGGCCGGCCGTGTGCCGCTCCCCCGCAGAAGTGGGGAATGTGGCAGGGGGAACCGCCCTTCCACGGAGGTGGAAGGGACGGTAGCCAACCCGGGAAGAACCAGCAGCAAACCCGGGGAGGGCCGAGCAGACAAAAGAACAGCGCAGGGTCCTGTGTCGTTCCTCCATGAAGACGGGGAGCGACATGTTCTGTCTCTCCCTCTCTCTCTGTAACCCTCTCTCTCAAATAAATAAATAAATACAATCTTTTAAAAAAATTAAAAAAGATCACTGCTTTTGAAAGTGGTTAAGGGGCAGGACTTCGGCACAGCTGTGGAACACTCACGTTCCATATCGGAGTGCCCGGGTTTGTGTCTTGGTTCTGTTCCCTATTCCAGCTTCCTGCTAATGCACATTGTGGGAGGCAACAGGTGATGGCTCAAGTACTGTGTCCCTGGCACCTACATGGTAGACCGGGATGGGGTTCTGGGCTTTGGCCTGGTATAACCCTGGCTGTTGCAGGCATCTGGGGAATGAACTAGTAGTTGGAAAAATCTCTGTCTCTGTCACTCTTGCCTTTCAAAAAAAAAAAAAAAAATAGGTAGAGGCCAGAACTGTGGCGTCGTAGTGGGTAAAGCCACTGCCTGCAATACAGGCATCCCATATGGGCACCAGTTCAAGTCCCACCTGCTCCACTTCCAATCCAGCTCCCTGCTAATGCCCCTGGGAAAGCATTGGAAAATGGCCAAGTGCTTGGGCTCCTGCATCCACTTGGGAAACCCAGATGAGCCTTCTGGTTCCTGGCTTTAGCCTGGACCAGCTCCACCTGTTGTGGCCTTTTAGGGAATGAACCAGTGAATAGAAGACCGACCTCTCCCCTCGCCCCTCTCCCCTCGCCCCTCCCCCTCTCCTCCCCCTCTCCTCCCCCCTCGCCCCTCCCCCTCCCCTCCCCCCTCTCCCCCTCCCCTTCCTTCCCTCCCTTCCTCTCTCTCTGTAACTCTACCTGTCAAATAAATAAAATCTTTAAAACATATATATATAAGTGACACATGTGTACTTTTATCCATCACTGATATTATTAACAGATAGGGTTCATTTTAAAAAACTATTATTTTCTATTTGTGTGTGTTCAATACTTCCAGAGAAGTCTTCTTAAGAGCAAACAATAAAAGTAACTGAAGAGAGGTAGCTTAAAACACAGCTAAAGGCCGGCGCCGCGGCTCATTAGGCTAATCCTCCACCTGCGGCGCCGGCACCCCGGGTTCTAGTCCCGGTCGGGGTGCTGGATTCTGTCCCGGTTGCTCCTCTTGCAGGCCAGCTCTCTGTTGTGGCCCGGGAGTGCAGTGGAGGATGGCCCAGGTCCTTGGGCCCTGCACCCACATGAGAGACCAGGAGGAAGCACCTGGCTCCTGGCTTCGGATTGGCGCAGTGCACCAGCTGTGGCGGCCATTTGGGGGGTGAACCAACAGAAGGAAGACCTTTCTCTCTGTCTCTCTCACTAACTCTGCCTGTCAAAAAACCAAAAAACAAAAAACACACTGCTAAAGATTTTAAGGCTTTTTTAGGCAGGGAAGAAAAGGGAAAGAATAGAACAGAGCTTATTAAGTATTTTACACTACCAAAAGGAAAACAAAGGTGAAAATGTAAGTGTAATAAATCAAAACAAACTTCTACACGGTGTATTACTTCTGTTTATCTATATGTACATACATATCTACATACATAAGATACAAAGAGTTTTGCAAGCTATATTTCAATGAAATGTAATAAGCAGATTCCAGTTTACCAAATATTACTGAGGCCTACCATAAAGCCAGGCATTGGGAATAAACAAGGAAGCAAAACCCGACACGATCCCTCTCCCCAAAAATCTCAAATTCAACTGGAAATCCAAATCTTGGTCAAGCGAATTTAGAAACCAAACTGCAAAATTAACTGATAAATCAGCAATGACTATTCATATTGCCAGAACCTTAATCATCCAACTATGTAGTCAATCATCCTCAATTTATTTCTCTCACATCCAACATCTGCTCTATCAGTGAACTGTGCTCTCTGAAATACATCCAGGGCCGTGCCACCTACCCCATCACTACCGAAGTGACCTGGGCACCATCTTCTCCCAAAGATGTCCCTATTCTAATCCCTGGGAGTATGTCACTTTACACAGTAAAAGGAATTCACAGGTGTGACTGATCACAGGTGTGACCGAGATGAGTGTTCTGTATTATCTGGTGGTTCAATGTAATCACAAGTGTCTGTAACAAGAGTGTCAGCTGGACAGCGCGCCGGCCATGGCAGCCATTGGAGGGTGAACCAATGGCAAAGGAAGACCTTTCTCTCTGTCTCTCTCTCTCACTGTCCACTCTGCCTGTCAAAAAAAAAAAAAAAAAAGTGTCAGCTGGAGATACAAGAGCAGTGATTGCTGGCTTTGTAAATGAAGGTAGGAGTCAGGAGCCAAGCAGAGCAGGAAGCCCCTAGAAACTAGAAAAGGCAGTGAAGGGACCAGCACTGTGGCATAGCGGCTAAGGCTGCTACCTGCAGAGCCGGCATCCCATATGGGCACCGTTTCAAGTCCCGGCTGCTCCTCTTCCAATCCAGCTCCCCACTATGGCCGAGGAAGGCAGCGGAAGATGGCCCGAGTCCTTGGGCCCCTGCACCCACATGAGAGTTCCAGGGGAAGCTCCTGGCTTCTGGTTTCAGATCGGCCAGCTCCAGCTGCTGCTGCCAATTGGAGAGTGAACCAGTGGATGGAAGACCTCTCTCTCTGCCTCTCCACTCTCTGTGTAACTCTGCCTTTCAAATCAATCTTAAAAAGGCAGTGAAGTATTCTCCCCAGTACTTCCAGGAGGAACACGGCCACGCCGGTATCTTAATCTTGGCCCAGTGAGATCTGTGGTCTACAGGCTGTAACAAATTAATGTTATTTCAAGCCAGGACATTTGCTGTGACCTGTTACAGCAGAAACGTTAAACATAACCTCCTAACTGGTCTCTCTGCTTCCACTTTCTCTTTTAGCCTCAAAGCAGTAATTCAAGTTATCCTTTTAAAATGTAAGTCACGCGGAGTGACCCTCTGCTCAAAAGCTTCCAGTGGTTTCCAAACCCAGGCAGTTTGAAATCCAGAATCCAAGACTTCCACTTCCCACCCAGCTTCCTGGTTTTATTTATTTATTTTAAGATTTATTTGAAAGATGGAGTTAGAGGTAGCGAGACAGAGGGAGGGGTCTTTCATCCGCTGGTTCACACCCCAAATGGCCGCAACAGCCAGAAGTGAGCCGATTCGAAGCCCGGAGCTTCTTCTGGGTCTCCTACGTGGGTGCAGGGCCCAAGGACTTGGGCCATCTTCCACTGTTTTCCCAGGCCACAGCAGAGAGCTGGATGGGAAGTGGAGTGGCCAGGACTTGAACCAGCGCCCCTATGGGAAGGGGCACAGCAGGCAGCAGCTTTACCTGTTCCGCCACAGCGCCGGCCGCTAAATTAAAAAAAATAATAATAAAAATAAAAAAACTTGCCCGGAACATTCCATGCACAATTGGAGCCTGCTTCAGCTGTGCAGCGAGGCCACAGATGAAAGAGTTAACGCGTGGAGGCTGCCTCTCCCACCCTCATCAGGTGTCACAGGCACACAGTGGGAGGTGCTTCCCAAGGCCACTCCTCGAAGCTGTTGATGCAGACCCTGGCCCCCAACATTCGTATCCCCTCACTACTTCTCAGCATTCGTCACGGAACATGACGCAACAGCCTACTTATGTCTAGAATTCTGCGCGGTTCATTGCAGCTGGGCAGGTGCATGGACGCATCAGGCGCTTAATATCTGCTCAACGAACTACCGCACCAGGGCAGGGCTCCTACGACCGTAAGACTGGGATTTTAAAAGGGAAACTATGCAGTAGATGGGGAATAAGCAAAACCGAGGAGGCAAATAACGATTTCGCTTCAACTCGGGCCACATTCCAACACGGACTCTGGGAGGTGGTGCAAACCACAAGGCTGACTAAAATAAAAAATAAATAAAACCACAAGACGGTCACAAACGCGGAAATAGTCTGAGGGCGCACAAAAGTTAACTTGGTCCTCTAGGAAGAACGCGGGCACTTTCCAGGCATTTCGTCCTGAAACACGCGCCCCCGGCCAATCAGGTCCCGGCAAATCAATGTTTTTACTGGAAAACTGGGGTTCTGACGCTAGCAAATCCGAGGTCAGATCGGGATGCAAACACCGCCGCCCAGCCCCCACACGTCTTGACCGCTTTTAGGGCAAAAACCCCTGGACACGGGGCTTGCGAGGAAAACCGAACGGACGCGTCGCAGCGCGCGGGCCCCGCACGACCCCGCTGCGGGCTGCGGAAGCGTCGAGGACCCGTGTCCGCCCCCTCAGGAGGGACCCGCAGCGACCCCTGAGTGAGGAGTCCCCCGAGCCACCGGCTTCGGAGCCCGGCCCCGACTTGCCTCCTCCCGACGGCGGGACAGTCGTGTGGGCTCGCCGACCCCTCCCCAACTCGCGCACCTCGGCGTAGCGACCTCCCTCTCAGGTTCGAACTCTGCAGAGCAGGGGGCGGGACCAAACAGGAGGCGGTACCCAATCGCGGCAGAACTCCGCCCAACGGGCTCGAGGCCGGAACTACAAGTCCCATGAGGCTTTGCGTGGCCGCGCGTTTCCACCGGAAAGAGGCTATCTGAAGTGGGGGAGGAGCCCAAAAGGGATTGTGGGAGAAAGGCTCTTTCCTTTCCGTCTGCCGGCAGCCATCAGGTAGGCTGGGTCGGGGATCTGCGCTTTTCCATCCGCCGCTCATCGCCCCCCGCTTCAGCCATCCAGACTTGGGAACCCTGCGTCCTCGGAGCTGTCCCTGCGTCCTGTGCAGCTGGAGTGCGGTCAGGATGCGGGGCAGCGAGGGTGTGGAGAGGCGGCCCTCCGGGGCGTGTGGGGGAAGGATGTGATGGCGGCGCGATTTCAAGTTGGGCCTGAAGCTTCAAGGAGGCGTGGGAGTGAGAGCGGGAGGGCGGCCGAAGGCTAGGCCGGCTGCTGGGGGTGGGGCGGGTGCTTTTTTCCTGCAGAGACAGTGCTGGGCGGCAGCGGCCCCTTGCAGGCCCGGCCTTTGGGACGCCGCCTGCCGCGGTCACCTGCCCGCTCCGCACCGGGGTAGAGTTCCGTATGTTCGCCCAGCAGCCATGTCCGGAGCGCTGGGCCGCGCCGTGGCCGCAGGGGCGCCGGGCCGCGGAGGTGGGGCTTGGGCCGTCCGTCCCCGCAGCTGGTGCAGAACCGTTTTCGTCGGCGGCGGTTTCCTTGTGGTTGGTGGGGGGAACCAAGATGGACGGACGGGGTCTTCTCATTGTGTCCCGGCGGGGATGCTGCGGAGTAACGCCGGTTTGGTTTGGTTTCGTTTCTCAGGTAAGCCAGGATGGGCGCGTACAAGTACATCCAGGAGCTATGGAGAAAGAAGCAGTCGGACGTGATGCGCTTTCTCCTGCGGGTCCGCTGCTGGCAGTACCGCCAGCTCTCGGCGCTGCACAGGGCGCCGCGCCCCACGCGGCCCGACAAGGCGCGCAGGCTGGGCTACAAGGCCAAACAAGGTGCGTGGGCCCGCGGTGAAATTGCCTCCCCCGTGGGAAGCCAGCAACCCCTTGCCCTGGTGTCACCCCTTCGCGTAGGGCTCATCCGGAAGTTGCACGGTTAGAAGTGGCAGGTGTCATGGCAGGTCCCACCCACCTCCCTGTGTTCACCCTAAGGGACCCTTACTACCTGGTTTTTTTTGATTCCTTGTCTTCGTCAGCGATTTGTATTGTCTTGCAGTTTCAATGTTGGAACTTCAGGGACAGGTCATGGTGTCTCAAGGCTTTTTATAAAATCTCTGTACTTTGTCTTGTGCCTATAGGTTATGTCATCTATAGGATTCGTGTGCGCCGTGGTGGCCGCAAGCGCCCGGTTCCCAAGGGTGCGACCTACGGCAAGCCTGTCCATCATGGCGTTAACCAGCTCAAGTTTGCACGAAGCCTTCAGTCTGTTGCCGAGGTAAATAGAGTACTGGTGGAATTGACCACCTCTTGGGAGGGCGGGTGGGAAGAAAGGGTAGGAGCAACGCCTCTGATGACACCCAGGTGAGCCTTCCTGTGTATACATTGGGGTTGTGCTTTCTACTGTAGTGATGTTGGTATTTGTTGGCTTCTTGATTAACACGTGAAATCCAAGATTTTGAAGTTTCACCTTAGCACATTTCTCCAACCATATAGCAGATGCATTTACTATGTTGCTTATCTTGTGTGGTGGGTTGCAAGTTTTCTTCTGGGTTAGTTCAGGTATTCTGTGTTGTAGGAGTTGGCAAACTAGGGCCTGGCTTCTGGGAGGTAAAAATGTTCTTTATTAAAGAGGCCAAGGAAGACCAGAAGAGGTGATGTGGCCTGCAAACCCTGAAATACAGATTAGAGACATTAGATAGGTTTTTTTTTTTTTTTTTTTTTTTTTTTGAAAGACAGTGTTACAGAGAGGTTTCCATCTGTTGGTTCTTAGAACTCACAGAAAAGCCTACTGACCTGGCAGTGGTGTTAGAAGAAAAGTGCATCAGAATCCTACATTTTTTCACCACGGACTAGCAGGCATGCTTTAGGAGGGAGTGCATGTGTCTCAACCTAAGAATGTTTCATGTGTTACTTGGCACGTCTGGTGTCAGGCTTAAAATGCCTGGCTGTCAGGAAAGATGCTTGGGAAATATTTGAATTAAGTGAATAGCTTCAGTCTGTTATGTAATGGTGAACTGCTAAGGGTTAGAGGTCTATTTTGCTGCTAAAGCTTTGTGGGAGGCTGACTTGGGCCTTTTTTCCTATTCTAGGAACGAGCTGGGCGCCACTGTGGAGCTCTGAGAGTCCTGAATTCTTACTGGGTTGGTGAAGATTCCACGTACAAATTCTTTGAGGTTATCCTCATTGATCCATTCCATAAAGCCATCAGAAGAAATCCTGACACCCAGTGGATCACCAAGCCAGTCCACAAGCACAGGGAAATGCGTGGGCTGACATCTGCAGGCCGCAAGAGTCGTGGCCTTGGAAAGGGTCACAAGTTCCACCACACTATTGGTGGTTCTCGCCGTGCAGCCTGGAGAAGGCGCAATACCCTCCAGCTGCACCGTTACCGCTAACTCAAGTAATGTTTGTAAAATTCATACCTAATAAACCATTTAGGACAGTCAACGTCTGCTTAAAGGTGTTATTTGTCTGTTAAAACTAGTCTGCCAATAATTTCATGAATGCTTTGTCAAATTATGAAAGTTAAAAGTGCAATAATGTTTGAAGACTGGTGTATCTTGTTTCTAATAAGGTAAACTTTTACCTTATTAGGGGATTCATGTGTCAGTGTTTAAAACATGCTGTGTGGTAAAATAGGTGTAAAATAAACTCTTTAAAAGAGGAGTGCTGAAACTAGCCCTGTAGATTTGTTTGGTGCATGTGGTATGCTCTTCTGGGTTTACGGTTTACCAAGTACAAGCTTTTAGAATGGGATTCTGCTTGGGAGCTTATAGGATGAGAGGCTGCCCTGACCCTGTGTCGCGTTTGTAGATCTGCTCCAATGTTTTTGCAGCTTCTGCCTCTAAAAGGAAAAATATTCCCAAATTGCCATCGTGTTTACAGTGAGTTTCTCTTAGAAATGAAATACAGGTTATCCTAAACACATACTCTGGTACTTTTTAACGTAAATACCTGAAAGCTCCTTGTTCAATCCTGTGGCTCCATGGAATTTGGAATCCTGAATTTGGTGCATAATGTGTACACTGGTGTATTTTGATGGGAATTGAATGTTAGGTTACCTTGAAGTTTACAAGCTAATAATCAGTACTAGAGTGGGGATCTGGTAGGCTAATGTCTATTAGGTACATACATTTAAGTGTCAGGTTAGATTGATGGTTTTTTTTTTTAAATGCCTGTGACAATTTGTGAATGTTGTAAATCCTCTAGCCATATTAGGGGGAAAAGTAAGATTTGCTATTTAAAGTGTTGTCTGTCTTAAGTCAGTTTTTGCAGATCATCTTGGGTTGACCCACATTATCCACTCCTAGAAGGGCAGAGAGCAGAGTGATGATGTCAATACAAGCTCCTGGTATCAAATGAACCCTAAATTGCCTGTAGTTAATCTGTCTCATCGTCTGACTACCCTCAAAGTCTGTTGTACAAAGTTGGGCCATCAGTTTGTGCCTGCCTTAAAATACCACCATGTGGGGTGTTCAGGTAGGTCAGGCTACCATTTCCCAGGGTGAATTTGAGTGTGAAGGGAATAACAACTGCCTCAAATCCTTCAAGGGAGGGTGTGCTAATAGGTAGTTTGATTTCAAAATCTAGTTGCTGGTTGCTCTGAATAAGGTTTTCTCCTATTTTCTCTAAGGGTTTCAGAAGATTCCGCTAATTTTCAGAAATTTTGGTGGCAGACCAATAAACTTGAGATCTCAATTCCTTTCCACTCAGAATCTTAACATACATTTTGGCTGTGTGTAGAGGTGGTTTAAGTAAAGGAATAAATGTCTATTAAACAAATGGACCTTTGTTATCTTTTATCTGGTGCTAGTGTGCTTTAAAGCAAATCTCATAACCTACAAGAAGATACCAAAATAAGAAATCGAGGGAAAGTAAAATGGGTAGTACTTAGTTTTCAGAGTTCTCTTTTGACCACTGCCTGAATTAGGAAAACTCAAATTTAAGTTCCCTAAAACTAATTTGGGATG